AAAGGGAGAAAAAAGAAAAGACGCAAAATATATTCAATTGGATAACATCGCCTTTAACAATTCTTCAATGCAGATATTGTTGGACGAGTCAATTTGGTTTTTGAGAAATCAAAATTGACTCGTCAAGTGGGCGTGCACAAGTGACTTAGTTGCGCGCGAATGTCGCGCGCAACGAAATCACTTGCGCTAGGAGGGGTCGTACAACTCATTGAGTTGCGCGTTCCACCTGCTCGTAGAATTTTTTTTAATTCGAGCATTTTTTTGTCATTGTTTTTTTTATTTGATTTTATTTATGCTATCCTTTGAATATGACGCTAAATCACGAAGAGATAACTTCGTAATTGGGAACCTAGACCAAACTAAAAAAAAAAAAAAAGAAAAAGAAGACTATCCTTACACGTTGCATATAGTCAGATAATCACATAAGCATGGCATAAGTCAAGATTCACGCAATGAAATTCTAAGGTCAAAAAGGCTTGGGTGTCCAAAGGTACCATATCTTAAGAAACGATGCACAAATCAATCACTCAACGTGTTGACTCATGACATCGCTCTCCCAACATTTTGTTGGCGATATGGGTGGGATGATTGTTATTGATTTCGGGATAGAAGCCTAGTGTTGGCGACCCCTAGTCAATGAGCTAATCCCTCATGGTTTAAGTGTGCTATGATTATGCATGATGCAATGTTGCTTGTTTGGTTTTTACTCTTGTGCAAAAGGAAGATATTATGCATTCAAGTCTCGCTCTCTAACTAGAGATTATCAAAGTTAATTCTCGTTACAACCCATAGGCAACCTAGTGTTGGAAACCTTGGACCATAACTACGAATTAATCATGTAACCTCTAAGTCCCCAGTGGAGTCGCCACTGTAATGAGGGTGATCCCATCGTAAGGGATACTCTCCTTAAATGCCCATGGCCACTTAAAAGCCTAGAACTTTACACTTGTTAGGGTGTAGTAGGATTTGAATTCCTGACTGTTTTGGGGACCTTGAATTAGAATTGATTCTATCATTACGCTTTATTGTAAGAAACAAGTAGGAGTCGCCTATGAGTTTTAGGAAAAACTCGTAAACCTCGTTCATGCCTTTCTTCCATGTGGAGTTCATGGAATAATTAGCACGAATCATAAGTTTACCCATGCCCAAATTGGTCAATAAACAAGAAATGAGTTCGGGAGCGAGGGTACTAAAATAACATTCCTTTAGAGGGGAGTTGTTATCCTAGCCCTAGTGCGACCTTTACTAACTCTTCCTTTTTTACAATTTCATCACCAAACAATATATGCAACGCGATACCAAAACTATGGTAGCTGATTTTATTTACAAGCATTAATTCACGTAGGAATTACATCGTAATGTCGTTATTCTTATTTAATCAAATTCGTGAAAAGGACAAGAAAATAAACAATATCCGCCTTGGCTTAAGTGATTAACCAACAATTATTTAATTCAATTCTAATCTTTATTTAATGCAAGATACTACGTGGAATTGATTAATTAATTATTTTAAAGGTGATCAAACAACACTAATTAATTAATTAAATTCCTTTTAAATAAGAAAATAAATGTGATTTAACTAAGTGCTTGGGAATTTACCACTTCTCTTTGCTAGATCTCCGTTTAGAACACTTATGGACTCCTTCTTGTTGGGGAACCTCCTCCGTAGTAAAAAAATATCAAAAGCGTGAGTGTTTAGGACAAGAGGGGCTAGGTTGCACAAGTTTACAAGTATTTCGCCAGAGTTTTAGGTTATTTTCTATCTGTTTAAGGATCGGTTTAAGCTCTTATTTATAGGGAATGATTAGGTTTAGGGTTTCGAGCATTCTACCGCAGCAGGTGTCGCACGCAACAGGATGAGTTGTGCGCGTCATCCTAGCGCAAGTGATTGGGTTGCGCTACTATGGGCAGCGTAACTAATTGTCTTGCCCGTGGCATTATGGTAAGATTCGATTTTATATTTTCCGTATAATTCTGAATCTTTCGCAGCGCAACTCTGGAGATTGCGCTAGGTGTCGCGCGCAACTGAATTAGTTACGCGCGGCACCCAGCGGGACTGTTTGAGATGCGCGCGACTTTTTCTGCGGCAGCACTAAGATTTAACCTATGCGCTTCTAAATCCATCATTATTAGGTTTTAAGCACGGGCTTAAGCCTAATTATGATCGGGTTTATTTAATTGGACATTTGTTTTGGCTTTTTCTTTAATTTGGGCTAGTCTTTTGTGTTTTGTGGCTTAACCAGTTATCCATAAGCATTCTTCACTTTGATCCAACACGAAGATGGTTTTTTATCGTCATTGCACTTCCTGTCGGGACAGGAGGCCAAAAGTAGATGTCTACACGAGGAATGTGAGTAGTTAATTAATTTAATTACTTATTTTATTTTAATATTGCTAGTGTCATGATTAGGTTTATAATTTATATTTGATTTGACTAACAATTTATTGTTAAATTGCTTCCAATATTAATGTTTATTCTATTATTTATTGATCACCATATTGCATGTTTAAAGGGAATACGTAATTGAAAATCACGCCTAATAAGATAATTTGGACGACCGGTTTAGGTTCCTTATTAATCTTGTTATTAATTCAAGTGATCACGATATTTTAGAATTATATGTTGCATTAATATTCAACTAATTTAGCCTAATAATATTTTGGAGCAAATTGAGTATTTTGTATGCCTTTGAGATCGTAGGAATCACTTTTCACCATAAGAATGGAGTAGAGGCCAATACGGGCGAATGTGTCTCCATGACTCACTTCGCACCATCATCCCCGATCCTCCTTTTGTGGTTCCAAACCATATGGTGTTAGTAATCTCATGGATTATGAATGGGGTGTAACCTTCACGGGTCAATCGTTGTTGCCTTTAGTTGTCCCTTAATCGTGGTTGCCTTTTATGATCCGTGAACGGTTTACAAGTTCCTTAAAAACTTGTTGGCGGCTCCCTACTTTCCTTGTCCCTAATAGTTGTCCCTAATCTTATATGTCAATTCCCACTTCCTATGAGTGTCAACCATATTCACCACATGATTTAATGTAGGCGCACTTCGAAGGACGCCTACAATACCTAATATATACAATATATATCATCTTTTCCACCCAAATTATATATATATTACTAAAATATTGTATTTAATAGAAGAACTTAAAAAACCTTTCCATTGACAAGACACAAAATGGTTCAAGAAATTCATAGCATGGATGATCTTTTCCGTCTTTTATAAATTGTCCATTAAGAGTGAGAGGATAATGATCCATTGGGATTGCCCTTTTCTAGGTACGAGCGTTTCTTCGTGCTTTAGCTTTTTCCCGGACTCGCAAGTATCTAACTTAGGAAGGCCAGGTATTTCCATTTGTTTTGCTATTCCTTTCTTCTTTCGTAGAGTCAATCTAAGAAAGTGTCCTTGTATCTTAAGAATAGCATTAACTATACGATTTGAATAGAGGTCGTAGCGAAGAGGGGTCTTTTCATCTTCCTCGATTAAAGAAACCTCTTCAGCATTAAAGCCCCATAAATCTTCATCGTTTTCATTGTGCTCCACATTTATGATTGGTTTATCAACTGCTTTGATTCTCATAGGGAAAGCACCAATTGTGACAGGGATTCCTTCGACTATGGCCTTAACTTGTTTATGGAAGGATGAAGGGACGACCTTAAGATCATGAAGTCAAGGGCGTCCCAACAATAAGTTTAATGAGGCTTTAATATCTACTACTTGAAAAGTAGTAGTATGTTCGATAACTCCTGCCGTAACATTCATAGTGATATTCCAAGAGCTTGACAATGGGTATTGTCGTAGGCTTTTATGCCTTGTGTGGATGGAGACAAGTCCTCATCTCTTATTCCTAACATCCTTGCAGTTCTAAGTGGGAAAACATTGATTGCCGACCCATTGTGTAAAAGAGCCATTGGGACATTCATCCTTTTACAAATAACTATGAGGTTTAAGGCCTTATTGTGTTTATCACCTTATGGAGGTAAATCCTTATCAGAAAAGGTGATCAAGTTGATGGGGCTAGGAAGGTCACTTGTGAAAAAGTTGGCTAATCCCTCAGGAGTGGTTTCCGAGTCTATTTCTACCTTAGAAAACTCATCCATTACTCCAACCCTATGCTCGTGAGATGTTGCTAATAACTTCCATACAATCATCTCAACCTTAGTCTTCTTTAGTTGTTTGACAACATAGTTATCTTCTATGAGTGGTATAGGGACTTGTTGAGTGGTAGGAATAGATTGAGTTGTGATGGGAGGTTGAATTCTTCCTGATCTTGTAAGAACATCTATGGTAGAATCTTCTTCATCATCCAAAATGTCACTGAAAGGATAGATGTGGAGAGTGGGGTTTCTTCCGCGTCTTTGAGGTAGACATCTTCGTCATCACTTTCCCAAACTCCATTGATGCTAACGTCTTTTTATTGCTTAGCTTAGACAAGTCTTCCACTATCAATCAATCCTTAGACTAGATATTTGAATTTGAAGCAATGACCTATGGTGTGCCCTCCAGATTGATGGTATTGATAGTAGAACCTATCCGTCCTTTTTAGTGATTCAAATGGTCTTGGCTCGAGAAGTTTGATCTTTCCACTCTCGAAGAGCATTTTGAACATTTTTTCATAGGAGGTCCCAATAGGTGTATAAACTCGCTCATTCCTCTTTGGTGGTTCGACCACATTGAAAGAAAATGGCTTTCTTTCAGAGGTTTTAGTGGGCATCATCTCTTCAACGATACGCCTATTTTCAGCTAACTTTATTTGTTTGATGGAATCTTGGAGTAGCCACATTAACTTATGAGAGCACATACCTCTTCTCTAGAGGCGAGTTCTTTGGTTTGGGGAAAATCACTCATGACATTGAAAAAGGTTTCCTCCTCTTCTTCGATAGCATGAGATTCTTCAATCGGTTTAATGAAGAGTGATGGATCGACGTGATCTCCCTCATCTCAAATTTCCAAGGCATCTGATAATGGAGCACTATTAATACACTATAACAAAAAGAGCATTTTCTCGACGCTGGGCTTTCGATGCTAGGCAAGCACCGTTAGCTATTAATTATACTATGCGTATTATCTTGATGCTTTTCTAGGTCAAAATTAATTTTCTACGTTATAAAGCGTCGAGAAACAAACACGTGCCCCACACGTGACTACAAAAACCCTCAATTGAAGAATTTAAGGAAAATGAAACCGCCGAACAAGAACACAAATAAAAAAATAAAAACCTCTAGTTACTCATCAACCAAACTACTCTTCTCTCTTTAATCCAAATTCTATGATGACACTTATGGAATCATTATTTTCAAACTCAGATCTTTGTTTTTCTTGGAGTAATTTCAACGTGAGGAATATCATTTTATGAATCAGATTCTTCAAATTAAGGTACAACAATTTTGAATTTCAGATCTTTGTCCTTCTCGGATTAATTTCAAATTTAGGTAAATTAATTTAAAATTCATAGCTTTATCTCTCTTTGAATAAATTTATAGAACTTGACCCAAAATTGTAATGTATGTCGTCCCTCTTAGTGCCAATCGATAATATTAAGGTACATACTTTCTCTTTGAATCTCTTTGAATCAATTAATAGATCTTGGTTTAATTTAATGTTTTATTTTTCAATAATCTCACATATTATGTTTAGATTTGGGTTAGCTTCATGAGTAATTGAGATTTTAGGGTTTCTGTTATGTTTCATTTTGTGCTTTTGGTTTAATTTAATTCATTAAATTATGCTTTTGTTTCATGTTTTTGAATGAGCATGATCGCATTGTTTTTCGTCTCACAATTCCATTACAATTCGCGTTGATTTTTGTAGGAGCTTTTGTGAGTGCTGACTTCGCTTGGCTCGTTCTCCTTCGTTAGATAAGCTTTTTAGGTGATTTTTTTTTGTATTTGGGTGTTTTTCTGTCTACTTTTTTACTGTAAAATTTCATAATTTTTGGAGTTTATTTGCTATTAAACTGGGCTATTTCTTAGATACCTTTCAATGAGATGAGAGTGTGGCTTGAGGAGTATCCTCAAGATTTTGTAGTGCTGTTTTGGCAGATTTGGAGGCTTTAGCTTCGTAATATTATGAGTTTACATACCGTAAAAAAAAAGGTTTTGGTACACAGTGAAAAACGACACCTAAATTGAAGATTATGGATTAGGTTGTATATTTAATTAGATTATGGATTATTTTGCTGACATTTTGTTGAATGTAGGAACTTGACTTTCATTCCAAGCTAGACTGTTTTAACAACCTACACACACACACATACACACACACACACACACACACACACACACACACACACACTATAGTAGGAGCTAAGCCTTATTTAGTTTGTTGCTAAAAATTTAATTGCAATGTTGTTGCTAGTTGTATTTGTATTTGAATCTTTATCAAGCTTTAAACAGAATCAAAATCAGTATTGTTTCCTAAAATGGACTCTCATTTCCTTTTTCTGTTTTTATGAAATGTTCCAAATTCCAATTAGGAAGACACTACATGACTATAAACTAGTCCAAAAACCATATTGCAACTTTGATATAGTACTATGAAGGCTCTTGAATCTTAAAAAGGTATTTCATTGGCAATTGGGCTAAGAGGACTATTTTTTGGAACTTTATACATAGAGCTATTTCTCTAAATCAATTAAATAAGTGTAATGGTTTTGCTTTTGCTACATAGCTTATTGAACTTAATAGTAATTAGGGAGTAGTAATAACTGGAAAAAAGACTTAGTGGATGTCTACTAATCCATTATATGTACATATGACATGCTTAAGTAAGAAAATTCGACAAATATTATGCCTTGAATTGATTTTCCATGTAAGAGGGGTTAAGTGCTATGTGCCCCTATGGTTGTTCCAAAGCTAGAGATATCTTTTATATTTTAACTACCGTTTTCTATTGAGCTGTGCGATTTTTGTCTTCTTTTTAAAGGTTTATCAAAAACTGTTAACTCTTGTTGCAAGCTTGTCATCGATAGACATTAAAGCGTGAGAGGTATTTGTTTTATCCTTCTATATTTGTTCATTTTAGAAGAATGAACAACAGTACTTTGGGTTTCTAATCACACTTAATATTGCCCTCAGAAGTTATTGAATTTAGGGGATTAATTTTAATTACTAGTACATATTTTAATATATCCCTTGTTAAATTATGTTGAAGTTGGCACCATCTCTTTCTAGTATTAAGCCGGACTTCGAATACTATACCATTTCACATAATTGGGTAGAGTAGTAAATAATAGAACAAATGGGGTATAAATGTGGCGATTAATGGGCATACATTTTAGCTTTATTTGAATTCTCTTTGTATGTTTATTTCCTTGAACTAATCAATCATTAAATGTTAAAGAAAAAAAACCAATGAGCTTTCGAATTTTTATTAGTTTTCATTAGCTTCTTGTTTACAACCCGAGACCTGTCAATATTCTGAATTCTTAACTAGCTTTGATCATATTACTTGGTAAAAATAATACAATTATTTTTTTTTTTTTTTTTTTTTGTGACAAAGGATATAATACAGTTATTAAAGGCTATATACAATATACAATTTACATCCAAATAAGTTAAGATTTCTAGCTGAATATATATTTTCAAATTTCACATAAAATATATGTTAGCATTCCTGTTTTAGCCTCTTCTTTGCCATCTCTCTCTCTCTCTCTCTCTCTCTCTCTCTCTCTATCTCTCTCTCTCTCTGGTATTTTTCCCTATTGGACTATTTGTTTCTTGGATCTTTAATTTTTCTTGAAAGATAAAATTACCTGGGTATTGCTCCTTTCCTTACATTAAGATGACATAATTTTTTTTATTAAAGATTTGTGCCGATTTCTTAACCTTCAATATTTTCTTCTAGTATACATGGTTGATAGGTCAATAATATAATTAAAATTAGGGCCTGGATACCAGTAGATTCTAATGTTAGTGACGTTTGTGAGATATTAAAACTTAGATATGGGATATACAAGTTTGGTATTATATGCTTGAGCTTGCATGACAAGTTGACAAGTATGCAGGTAATGACTCAAGTCTATGTCATATTTTGAGGCTATAGAGTCATCTTGGTGTAAAAACTATCTCCTGTTGAAATATATATCCCAGTATAAGGCCATACTCATGAGATTCGCTGTCGGGTAGTTGATTAAAATTTTATGAAACCTTAATTAAGTGTGTACAACATGTATAATGCATATGCTACATAAATTTTAGAACATAATAGTTGTTTGTAAACACTGATTTCTCATTTACATTCTTGTTTAAGAGGGGCAGCAACTCTAAAGGCAAAGACATGTTAAATTCTTGTAGAAGTCACTTGTTAGTCAATCTCCTTAACATATTCTACCACTTGTTAGTCATTTTCATTATCATTGTACTTCTCTATTATCTTGCAGGCTGTGCTCAAAATAAATACTAGACATGTAACGGGAACAACCAAGAAGAAAAAAAGTACTTCACCATCCTCTCTTTTTCTATTAATGCTCTGCATATTGCCCTGTAGTTAAAATTTATTGCAGAATTCAAAACTTAAGAATTTGATAATATCAGCAAATGATATGTTTTCTTCGAAGTATGAATACCCTGATACTTTTGGTAAGCTATCAACTATGTAATTAGCTTTGAAAGTTTGTTGTGATATTGGTTTGATTAAATGATTTTTTTTTGGTATATGGCTCCCTAGTGTTATTAGTTTTGGTCGATTATTGTAATTAGATTCTTTTGCTGATATCTTGTTGTAAATGTTGAACTGTGGTGCAGGGTTAAGTGATTTTGTGGCATCCATTGCTTGTATGAATACTGAGAAATGGTAGAAAAAGGCTGACAACTACGACACAAGATTACAAGGATGGAAGAAATATATTTTAAAGCTATTTATTTTAATTATATATGATTCAAAATTTCAGCTGATACAATTAGTCAAGAATGAACTTTTATTTGTAATTACATCCATTGTAATAGAAAACTAATTACTATGACATATTGTACATGTACTATTTTATTTATATGCAATAAAAACTTTTTTGGCATAATATTGTTGTACATTTATTTTTTTAGTTAATACAAGTATACTAGTTAGTAATAGGTTCAGTGACTGAAATTTTATATATTTTTGGGCAAAGTTATTGTAAAAATATTTTTAAAGAAAAAGGACAAGAAAATGTGTCCTCAACTTTGAAAATATAGACAGAAAAAAGCGTCACTAAAATAAAAGACATTAAAGGTATGAAACTCTGGACATAAAAAAAGCATCGCCAAATTTCAAACTCTTTAATCTTATATTTTCAAAAAGGATGAATAAGATCTTTTAGAAAATTATATAAGCTTTCAATTAATCCTAAATAATTTGTACCTTCCACATGATCATTGGATCGTAGGTAAGGTGGGCTTAGGTTTGGTTTGGGTTCAGTTTAATATTTTGGTCATAACTTATTCGTTACAACTCGGATTTGGGATTATAATATATCGTTGGAAAGTTCTTTTCAAGCTTCATCCAACTATTCAATTATTGGACCCATAATATGGACCAAAATAAATTAGAATAAACGTTTTTATAAAAAGGACACAAACTAAATGATTTTAAAGGACACGAAATGAATTATTTTTGGTTTAAAGGCACGGAAAAAGGAACATAAGTTATGGTTTGGGGAAATTGGCTAGAAATTGGGTTGGTTTATGAAATGGAAATATGGATTAAATCACTTCAAGATTAAATACTCAACCCGACCAATAATGGCGGTGAAATGTTGTTCATCATCGGGTTTTGTTTTGCGGAGACATTTTTAGGTGTCTACGGGCCCGATTTGGTTTTTATATATGGCCCAATGATCTATAGGAGGGCCTATTATTAATTATCATTCCTAAAGCTAATAAGATTGAATATAGTACTTTTAAATCCTAATAGGATTAGGATTGATAATTATGTTTTATGAGTTTCATTTGGCATAAAAGAAGTTTTTTATATGAAAATACGATTATACCCTTCGTACGGATTTTACAACTTGATATTTATCAAGAAGTGGATTTCGCATTGAAAGCACGTTGAAAACCTTCTACATCGCCAAACAAAATTGGTTGAATATTAATGCAATATATAATTCTAAAATATTCGTGATCACTTTAATTAATCAACAAGATTAAAAAGGAACCTGAATCGGTTGTCCAAATTATCTTATTAGGCGTGATTTTCAATTACAGCATATTCCCTATAAACATGCAATATGGTGATCAATAATAACAATAATAGAATTAACATTAATATTGGAAGCAATTTAACCATAATATCATTAGTCAAATCAAATAATAATAATAATAACTCTAATCATGATACTAGCAATATAAAATAATAAGAGTAATTAAGTGATTGATTACTCACTTTCCTCGGTTCCTTGAATTGCTACATCATGAATAAACTGTTAGTGACTTCAATAAAAATATAAATCAAATGAAAATTAAATTAAATTTAAATAAAAATTAGAGTTTATTTGGTCCAAACCCTCAATTATTTATACCTTTAACGTCTTGGTTTAAGGACGGAACCTCAGGTCAAGTATGGAGTCCTTGGAGTGCTTAGGAGAAGTATTTTGAAAGAATAGGGTGGCTAGTATTTAGGCTAAAGAGGGAAAAGAGAATTATTTTGTGATCAAGCTTGTTGACGATTGAAAAAGGGAATATAAGCCCTCTATTTACAGAGAAAAAAGAAGGGTCGAAAAAACAAGATAAGATCCGAATTAAATCGGAATAAAACTCGATTGATTGCAGTTTTTTGCGGTTTTGGTTTTTATCATATCTTTTTATCCAGAAATCGGAATATGATAAATAAGATTTTTTTGGAAAGCTCTTGAAGTCTAATTTCTAAAACCATTAGAATCAGATTAAAATACTTTGTAGAATAAAAGATATGGAGAAAATAGTGAGACAGTGTCAGTTTTGGATAGAGTTTGATATTTTATTTATATCTTTTCCGTTATAGCTCGGAATTGATATTATAATATATCATTGGAAAGATAATTTAAAGGTCTATCCAACCATATAAAATTAGGATAAAAATATGAGGCACAAAAATCATATATGACTATCTTTCAACGTCTTTCAATTCGGATAGAAATAGGATTTTCAAAAAGAAAAGTTTTATTCAATTTCAAACTCTTTAATATCATCTTTTCAAAAAGGATGATTAAGATCTTTTAGAAACTTATAGAAGCTTCCAATTAATCCTAGTTGGTTCAGGAATGGGATTAAATAATTTGGACCTTCCACATGATCATTGGGTTGTAGGTAAGGTGGGCTTAGGTTCGGTTTGGGCTCAGTTTAATATTTTGGTCATAACTTATTTGTTGTAACTCGGATTTGGGCTTATAATATATCGTTGGAAAGTTCTTTTCAATCCCCAACCAAATATTCAATTATTGGACCCATAATATGAACTAAAATAAATTGGAATAAACGTTTTTATAAAAAGGACACGAAATGAATGATTTTAAAGACACGAAATGAATTATTTTTGGTTTAAAGGCACAGAAAGAGGAAAATAAGTTATGTTTTGGGGAAATTGGCTAGGAATTGGGTTGGTTTATGAAATATAAATATGGATTTAAGCACTTCAAGATTAAATACTTAACCCAACCAATAATGACGGTGAAAGGTTGTTCATCATCGGGTTTGGTTTTGGGGAGACATTTTTAGGTGTCTACAGAAGCCCCCACTTTGACTGAGTTTGTAGAAACGTCAGTTTCAAAAACAATATTCAAAGTAGTCAATAGGGACGGAGAATGATTTAAGACATTCGACGATCCTAAATCACTCTGTATACGCCGATAAATGCAGAAAAATGTTAGTTCCACGGGATAAAACTGTAAAGGAATAGTATGCTTATCTGACACCAGTGTATCGGTGAAAATGAGTTTGGTAGCTTCCTATGCTTGAAGGAATCCACCGAATGACGTTTTGTTGAAATATTTTCCATGATTGAGGAAAGTCGACTGATGAGTTTGTGTAGCTTTCTAAGCCTGAAGAAACCTACCGGATGATACTTTCCATGCTCGAGGAAAGTCGACATATGAATTTGGTGTTTTTCTATGCTTGAAGAAACCCACCGATAATACTTTCCATGATTGAGGAAAGCCGACAAAGGAATTTGGCGGTTTTCTATGCTTGAAGAAACCCACCGATAATACTTTCCATGCTTGAACAATGTCGATAGATGATGAGATTGCAAGTCTCTGTGTATCGAGAACCTTGCGTCGTGAAATGATGGTGGTTCGATTGTCCCCAAACGTGGGCTATAGTTGGTTTGCTTGTCTCCGAACGTGGGCTGTAAATGGTTCGCTTGTCCCCGAACGTATGATGTAGATGCAATGGCTCTCTTGTCCCCGAACGTGGGCTATAAATGGTTCGCTTGTCCCCGAACACAGGTTGTATATGGTCCTCTTGTCCCCGGGCATGGGCTGTAGATGGTCCGCTTGTCCCCAGACGTGGGCTGTAATTGAGACCTGCAAAATAAAATTTGCCAAGGGACTCGTATAGACTATGATTGACTTGACCAAGTTTGACTTGACACGACATGACATGACATGAGTATGACTTGTGATTGTGTGTGTATAGTTTGAGTGTGTGTGCACAGACACGAGCAATCGAAAATGCAAAAGCAAAAAATTCCGTCATTTTTGTCATGAGATGAGTGGAGGGTACCGACTTTCTCCCGAAAAATAAAGACGTGAAAAAAAAATTTATTTTCAAACTTCCCTTGATGAGAAAATTTTAAAAACGTTTTTTAATTTCCCCAAAAGAAAAGTCATGATGAGAAAGGGAAAAAATTTTGAATTTCTTTGATGAGCAAGATGAAATGAATTGCATAGATTAAATTGCTTGTCCTGAAAATAATTTATGTATGATGCATGTTCTTAGGCCAGGAGGCTAAGGACAATTACATCATGTGACACGATAGATGAATGAACTTAGGTCATGGAGCTAAGCATCATATATGGTGTAAAGAAACGATTTTGAACGTCACTTAGGTCTTGAAGCTAAGCACGTATATAGATGAAGTGATTATTGCATAATGAACGTTGCTTAGGTTAAGGATCTAAGAACGATATGCTTTGTATGATTACAAATCATTGATATATAAATGTTGCTCAGCACATTATGCGATGCATGAAACAATGAATATTTCTCAGGTCAAGAAGCTAAGCAAGTATACAATGTTTCATTTAATGAATGTTGTCTTGAAAGATGATGTACCATGCACAGTAGGGAAACAAGATTTCATGATAAAAGGTTCCTAAGGGAAAGCTGATATGGCTATGTATGTGTGAAAAACGTGTGTGAAAGACGTGTGTGAAAGTGATACTAGGTGAGGCTGCAATGGCTATGGTGAGGGAAATAGATGTGAGAAGAGTCGAGATGGTGACTCTTTAGGATAGGTAGGCTATATGATGTGGGTTCAAGCTCCCAAGTCTAGCTCTAGATGGATAAGGTCATAGGATTAAGCATTGGATAATCTTTGACACGATCATGCATATGAATGTGGCCGCACCTCAATGTGAGGTTGCCTACGTATCCGTTAGGAATCAGGCCGAACGTAGCTCTAACCGAACTTTGCACAAGTGTATGTACACCTCAAAGAGGTCTTTCAAGGGTTATAATATGGTTAAGTTGATGATTTAAAGAAGAAAATGGTACAAGGCTCAAGACCCGAGAGAATCCCCAAGATGTGTAATTGTGAATTTGAAAATTTTGAATTTTGCAAGTTTATTTTCTTTATTTATTTCTTTATTTAATATTTTTTTTTTGCTTTTCGTTTTTTTTCCCATTCTTTTGAATCAATGTGGGAAATCTCTGATCATGCGGTCTATCACTCACTTAGCTTTCATGTTTCTCAGGCACGGTACCAAGCACTCGATGAGAGACACAATTTGAGACGTGTTCATATCAAAGACATTGGAACACTTGCCCTTAGACATTGTTTTATTGTGCTTTGCTAATTTTTGTTTTTTTACTTGCTTTTTGAATGTTATACAAT